GAGGGGCGAAGCGCGGGGGTGGTGGGGGGTTGTAGGACGTGGCTGAACAGGGGCGAGCATTGCATGAAAGAAAAGTGCAAGGGCTAAACGAGATACAGGCGATCGTGCGGGGGAGGGGAGGCGAGCGAGGGGCAGAAAAAAAAGGGAGAGACAGAGAGAGAGACAGTGAGGGAAAGAGAGAGAGCAGGAGAGGCCGAGAGAGCGAGGGGGTGGGCGGGGGACCGGGACGGGGCCGCGGCCGCACAGAAGTGGGCGAGGGGGCTCAGGAGGGGGAGGGGGCGCTGCTGAGGCGAGCAAGCGCCCCCAGAAGTGGAGGACTCTCGACAGAAATTACTGCTGATTGGCCAGAATTTGCCGGCGATTCCGTGGTCGCGCCTCAGCGCCTCATCCCTCAAAACAACCCCTCCCTTTAGAAAAGAAAAAAAATAAAACCTCCCACATCCCCCCCCCCCCCTCTCCAGGGCCCGGCCCCTGAGCCAGTCCATCGCTCTCCCGAGCACACCTTCTTCGCCAGCTCCGGGCCGAGGGGGGACGCTCGGCGGCGTCCTAGTTACGACGGGGGAGGGGGTGGCGGCCCCACGGCGGCCCTCGGGGGACCGAAACCGCGACCGCGCGCAAAGGCGAGGTTACGTCCGGCACATGCAGGTGTGCGAATTACAACTTCGTAAAGCCCGCGCGCAACTTTCGCGTTTGTTTTCGGAACTTTTTCGGGTCCTTCCCCCGAGTGCAGCCCGAGCAGGACGACGCCGAGCCACCGCGGCCGCGAACGGGCCAGCGAGCGGGGGAGTCGCCGCGCGCCCACCCTCATAAATATGCAAAACTTGTTGAGGACCCCGGCGAAAAGCCACTCGGGTGGTGCGACTTGACCCGGTAACCTATCAACTGACTGCCTCCTGAGGTACTCCGTGCCCCGCGGCCCGCGCGCGCCCACGGTCCCGGGCTAGGGGTCAACAGCGCGCGGAAATGCCGTCAGGTCAGGGTCCTTGAGGACGGCGGGGTCCTCGTAGGAGGCTGGGCGAGTGGGGGGGGCGTGGATGCTGCAGGGATGTCGAGTCGATGTCTCTCTGCAGACGAAATCACCGCGGGAACGGGGTGAGGTGGGTCCCCGGGCCTTGGCCTGCAGTCAAAGGAAAGTGCTTTACAGAAAGACGCTGAGGGGAAAAACGAGGAAGGGGGTTGCACTTTTCCTTCTGGTAGAGACAGTCTCGGGAAATTACTGTGTCGTCGTTGGAAATCATCAACACATTTGGCGTGCAAGGAATTCCCTGCGGCCTGCAGTCAAATTTGACTGCTCTTTAAAAAGCGCTCTGCAGAAAGACATTTTACAAAACAAAAAAAAAGTTCCGTTCAGGAACGGATCGTGAAAGCAGATGATACGAATTCAAGAATTATTCCAGTCTTTAATATTTCAGTGGCAGATCACGGGACGCATTACTTGCAGAAGTATATAGATAATTTACAAATTTTTATTCACATTTAGTTACGTATTTATACATAAAAAGATTTGGGTTGTGTTCTGTGTCTCCTATACTTTGTAATGTTTTGAAGGGTCTAAGACAGAGTTAGTGTGAAGAGGAACGTAGAGACAGTTTGCGAGTGATACTTCTCAATAGAGACATGGTTTGAAAATACTGTTTCTAAATTCATTTAGTTCTGTCTCTTCATACTTAAGTTAGAGTTTGAATTACCGCGCCGCGCGCGTTCCTCAGCCGAGACGGTCCGAGCCGAGCTGCGCTTCGAGCCGAGCGACGAGCCGAGTCTGCCGGAGGAAAGGGGAAGGGGAGGGGGGCCTGCGCGTAGCTATGGGCTTTGGTTTGCTGGCACGGTCGGACGGGAGG